AGTTAGATCTCTGATACCATGTACAGTCCCCAGAGCTCAGCTAGGAGTGATCTATAAGCACGGCTGGGTGTGGCCACACCCCCCAAAACAAAGCCACACCACACGTGGTATTAATCATTATCTTAATCCCCTCTTATTTTCTATACTAAACTTTGGTAAGGTCAGGTTTTCAAAAACAAAAACCATGAGGCTGGAGTGATAGCACAGCAGTAGGGTGTTTGCCTTGCACGCAGCTGACCTGGGTTCGATCCCCAGCATCCCATAGGGTGTTTGCCTTGCACGCGGCCAACCCGGGTTCGATCCCCAGCTTCCCATAGGGTGTGTGCTTTGCACGTGGCCAACCCGGGTTTGATCCCCAGCATCCCATACGGTGTTTGCCTTGCACGCAGCTGACCCGGGTTCAATCTCCAGCATCCCATATGGTCCCCTGAGCACAACCAGGAGTAATTCCCAAGTGCAGAGCCAGAAGTGTCCCCTGTGCATCGCCAGGTGTGACCCAAAAAGCTAATGAGGAAAAAAAATAAAGTGACAAGGAAGAATAAGAGCAAAGTCTGAGGCAGACACTTATCTGGATATAGGCATGTCTACAGTGCGAGATCAAAGAGAAAGTGTAAGAAGATTTCTGATCAGAAACAGACAGAACTAGATTCTTCTAGAAGGCTCAGTGATCTTTACCGCTAGACACAGACAGACATCTAGGGTCATGTAGGGACATGTAGGGTCACACCTGACAGTGTAGAGGGTGCTGGAGATGGAATTTGGGGCTCACACGTAGAAGGCACATGCTCCACCACTCAACCCAGCAATCATCATTCTCCAACAGTAGGTGACACGGTTCCTTCTGGCCAGAGAAACACATGGAAGACGTGCACTGTGGGTCTACATAACTCCACTTGTCCCCGACTCATCACTTGGGGGTGTACTGTGGCTAACCCCAAGGCTGTGGCTTTCCCATTTTACCGATGCAGGCAAGTGGGACCCGAGACCCTGTTGGAATTCAGCTCTGAGTGAGGCCTGGACTCAGCAGCCTGCTAGGCTCCTCCTCAGCCCAGGCATGCAGGACCTTCCTTCCTGCACTGAGATACAGGAGGCAGCTCACCTCACCCCCTTGGCTTCTCTGAAACGCATCTGAAATGCATCTGCCATGTATAAATGGTTCTCCCCAGTCAGGGTTCAGGTCAGCACTGCCTTGGTGAATCTGATACTGAATCACCAGGTTTCACATTTTGTTATGAACCCAGTAATATTATCGAAAGAGGATTAGGCCCCTCTCTGTGACATCAAGTGTCACTTTTAGGAAACTTTTTGGAAACTTTTGGGGTATAAGGACCCTACAGTGCCTCTCGGTTCGCACAGCCATCAACTATATCTTAATCCTGCCAGAAATAAGAACAAACTCACTAACTTGGCACAAAGACTTTCCTTTTTGGAGAAAGAGGGCACTACCTGATAGTCACGGGACGCTACCGTCTGCACACTCATCTAGTAGAGATGGAACACGACATGGGTTACATATAATAACCCATGTCAACTATCTCAAACTTACAGGGAGGAGTGTGGAAAAATTAAAGACAGCTAAGACCTAACATCTAACTTGCCAGCTTGATAGTATCCTGATACATATCTATATGTAACAATTCATAGTTGATAAGCCTTTTCCAGTGCAACTAATCAAAATTATTGAAATATGCATGCACATAGACATACACATACAAGGTGAATATGTGTGTGTCTGTATAGTGTACGTGCATCTAGTCTATTACAGCAATATCCTCAGTTATAATTGAAGAGATCTGGAGAGGGGAAGGGAGGTGGAAGAGGACTAGGACAGAACTGTGGGGTCTTATGCACCTCCTTTACAGTATCTTTACACTGGACCCTCAAATGGGCGTAAAGAGTTTTCAAGTGCCTACTGGCGGCTAAGTACTGCTTTTCCTGAATCTTTCATTTTCTCAACAGCATCTTGATTCACGGTAACATCTTGATTCCAAATTTGTTAGATTCCAAGTTTGAGGACATGAAAGACAATATCAGAGGGAAAGTGCTTGCCTTGCATGTGGCTGGTTCCAATTTGATCTGTGGCACCAGAAATGGTTTTGCACTAATCCCTAAGTTTAGAGTCCTGAGCTCTGTAGCGAAAGACGCCCCCTCCCCCACCCAATCCCCACAACTCTTCAATCATCCTCAAGGTTTCACAACTACCTCAATAACTACTCTAATGCACTTAAGTTCATTTTGGGTAGTCCCAAATTAAGTCATTATTTCTGCATTAATTTAGTTGCTATGTGATTTTTAATAAAGAAAAATGGGTCAGCATTGTCACAGACGAGGTGAGTTGTAAAGAATGCACCAAATTATCTTCAGCATCCAAACACCTGGCTGCCGTAAATGATGACTTTAATGTATTTCTAATGAGGACTGGATTCAGACCAAGATGAAGAAGTCTAATCCAGAAAGTAAGATTTCCTTTTGTTTCTATAAAGGATTACAAATTTTTAATATTAGCAAAAAAGAATATGCTGAAAGTAGACTATAGACCAAACATGTGCAAAAAAGAATATGCTGAAAGTAGACTATAGACCAAACATGATTGCCACTCATTGCCTCTTTTGCAAACCACAACACCCAAAAGGCGAAAGAGAACAAAAGGGAATGCCCTGCCACAGAGGCAGGGTGGGATGAGGGGGGTTTGGGGGGTGGGAGGGATACTGGGATCCGTGGTGGTGGGAAATGGGCACTGGTGGAGGGATGGGTATTTGATCATTGTATAATTGAAACCCAAGCACAAAAATTTGTAAGTCTACAACTGTACCTCATGGTGTCTCACTAATAAAAATTAAAAAAAAAAAGAATATGCCATATCAATTCTATTCTTTTCCTAACAGGTACATTAGCTGCAAACTGAGTTTACATAAATGTAGCATTTTTATTTTTTATTGTTTAAAAAACACAACATTTTTTTTTCTTTTTGGGTCACACCTGGCAATGCACAGGGGTTACTCCTGACTCAAGCACTCAGGAATTACTCCTGGTGGTACTCGGGGGACTGTATGGGATGCTGGGAATCAAACCTGGGTTGGCTGCTGCAAGGCAAACACTCTACCCCTATCACTCTAGCCCCAAGCATAGGATTTTTAAAACAATGAGTTCTGTGCTCTTCCAATTATCACCTGGCATTGTCTCAGGGTAGACTAGACCCCTTGCAAGCTCCTGCAACTGGTGAGTTAGGCAGAGGCAGAAAGCAATGCTAGGGCCTCTCTCCCAACTCCAGCAGAGGAAGCAGGCCACAGTGGGGAGAGAAGGAAGAGTGGCTGAAGGTGAAAGCAGTTTGTGCCTTTTGACATTTCTTTATGCAACGTGAAGTGTGATGTGTGCAGCAAAGTGGTCCTCAGAACCAAGGATGAGCTAAAATCAAGTTTCACCAAGTCACAATTACTTGAGCATAAAGTCATTATGCTCAGAGTTGCAAGAGACAGAACTCTACAACCTCTATTTGTATTTATTACTGATACGTCAGGCCAGAGAAGCAGTATAGGGTTTAGGGCCTTTGCCTTGCATGGGACCAACCCAGGTTTGCTTCCAGTGCATATGGTACCCAGAGTACAGCCAGGGGTGACCCCTAAGCCTCTTGGTTGTGATCCAACCTCTCCACCCACAACAGTTATCAAGCACCTACTCAGTGCCAAATGGACCTTATCTTATCAGATTGTACACACTGGGCCAGATCAAAGGTACTTGCCTTGCAAGTGGCAGACCTGAGTTGGATCCCCGGTACCCCATATGATCCTCTGAGCCCCACCACGAGTGATCTCTGAGTGAGGAGCACTGAAGGTGGCCTGCCATCACAATCCACCCCCCTCCAAAAAAGGACACAGACTTCTTTAGGAGTGGCCTTGCCCTCTTGAGACTGAGGAAGGGACGATGCAGAATGCCTGAGTTCAGGTAGGAAGTGACAGGTTCAAAGCTAATCCAAGGCACTACTGGTCCCAGCAGGGCACAGGTGGGAGAGGTTGGTGGGGCACAGAGGTGGGTTAGGGCCGCAGGTCTGGGGGCGAACACAGGTCCCTGCAGGGCACAGGTTTCAGGGGGCACAGGTGTGTGTGTGTGTGTGTTTGGGGGGGGGGGCGGAGGTCACAGCGTGGTGGACACAGATGAGGGCTGCAGGTCTCCAGGAACACAAGTCCCAGAGGACAGGTTGGGGAACACAGGCAGCGGGGGAACAGCAGGATTGAGTGGCACAGGTCTCACCCAGGGGAGCACAGGTGGAGGGTGCTGCAGGTCTGCACAGTGCACAGGTCCCAGGAGTGCGTCTCAAGCTATCCCCCGGGGCCAGGCCAAGGCTACCCAGAGGCTGACTTGGGAGGCAGAAACTGGACGAGGCAGGAAGGGGAAGCGCGGCTCGGCCGTCCCCTCCCGTCCGGGCTGCGCCGGCCAGCCGGCCGGCCCCTCGGTGGCAGTCGCGGTGGCTGTCGGGGTGGTCGCCGCCCGCCCGCTCGCTCGCTGCCCGCGCGCACTCGCGGCCTTGGCTGTCACTCCCTCCGCGTGGGGCAACCCGCGCGCGGAGCGGACCCACCACCAGCCCGCGTGGCGAACCCCCGACTCTGGGTGTCGGGGCAGCAACCCCGGGAGAGGAGCGAAGGCATGGGGCGGAGTCCAGCCTTTGAACCTCCCGGGAGCCGCCGGCCAGTCCCCAGCACTTCCCCGCGGACACCTTCAGCCCGGTCCGACCCCGGGAACCGGCGCCACTCGCGGGCCCCAGCGTCGCCCGCCTCGGGGCTCCGGCGTCCCGGGAGCGCCTGGGAACGTCCCGGACCGCGACGGAACCAGGGGCCCCGGGTCCTGGCCGGCCGAAGCTGCCCCGGCGGGCGCGGTGGTGCCGGAGCCCCCGAACCCAGCAAATCCAGAGCGCGGCCCCGGGCAACCCCCCCCCCCCCACCCCGACCCGCGCGCGCACGCGCCGCCGCGTCCGCACCGCCCGCGCCCCCCGCGGCCGCACTCACCGGCGCCCGCGCCCCGCGCCGCCCCGCGGCCTGGGCCCCGCCGCCCCGCGCTCCGCCGCGGCTCCCGGCTGGGCCGCCGCTTCCCGTCACGTGGGGGCCACGGCGCCGGCGAGGGCGGGAGCCGCCGGGTCCCCGCGCCGCCGCCCGCTCCTCCGCCCTCCGGGGGCTCCCCGGCCGCCGCGGGTCGCCCCGCGCCGCCGCCGCCGCCCCCCAGGGGCTGGGGAGCCGGGAAGTCGAGACGGTCCGAGACGCGGCCCGGGGCAGGTTGGGCGTTCGGAGGGCTGCGCGGACCTGGCACGGAGGAGGGTTCTCCGGTTCCCCGCAACACGGCCCAACCCGCTCTGCCCACCGCTGCGGCACCCACGTGACCCCGCAGGGGCGCACTCGGGAGGTACCTGCTGAGGAGTGGAAGGACGGACGGACGGATGAATGGAGGGCCCGACGGGTAATTCGGGGAGTTACTTGGGGAGGGTGCAAGGGTGGAGGGGTGGTGGAAGGATGGTTGGATGAATAGATGGGTGGGTGGAAGGGTGGAAAGAAGGATAGAAGGATGGATGGATGGGTGAGCCCATAACTCAGGGAGTTACTTGCGGGGGGCATGTATGGGTGGGTGAACGGATGAATGGATGAACAGATGAGTGGGTAGGTAGATAGATGAGTGCTTTGGAGTTACTTGCTGGCTGGCTGGCTCGCTGGCTGGGTGTTTGGATGGATGAGTAAGTCGGTCCATCCTGGGAAACAACTCTGATAGTACTCCCTGGGGACCCAACACTTGGAGAAGAAAGTGCTTTCCGAGCCAGTTTGCCCAATCCCCTTAACAAAAGTCCATTCGTTGCTATTCCTTTTGGATCAGTATACAATGAAGTTAACCAGAAATCCACCAGCTTCTCTCCAAGATCTAGCCAAGATGCAATGTCATGATGAAAGGCTCGGAGACTTATACCCAGAGTTGACAGCGCTCATTATGAGCACATAGAAAGCCTAACTGTGTCCATGGTTTTCTCTACCTATAGAATTCACCAAGGACATGTAACCATGTCCCCACCCCAAAACTTGAGAACAAAGCAAGAAGGCAGAAAGCAGATTATATTCCGTGACATTCAGGTTTCAAATGGAGAAAAGCAAATGATTCCCCACCAGTATCCCCCCAAAAAGGTTAAATGAGGGGCTGGAGCAGTAGTAGAGTGTTGTCTTGTACGCACAGCAGGTAGAATGTTGTCTTGTGTGCACAGTAATGGCACAAACTCTGTCATGACCCAGAAAGAAGTAACTGAATAAGGATCCTGCTGAGGTTAGGAAAGACTAACCTGGCCTGAAGACTGTGGTCTGGGATATATAGTGAGATGTCCCCAGGAAGAGCCACCCTTTAAGCTTAATATATCTCTTATTGTGTTCATACAAAATGACTAGAAATATTAGTAAGAAGTAAATTTAATATGATTGTTTGAGTGGATTATTGGCTTAGGAAAGGAGAAAACAGTACACCCTTAGATGAAATCCTGCCTCTGGGTGGATCTCCTAGTAATTTGAAGTGCTGAGCCCTTAGATGAAATTTTGTCCTTGGGTAAATCCCCTAGAACTTTCCCTAAAGGAAGGACTTTGCATCTGTTTATTGTTATGACAATATTCAATCACACCTCTGTGTAATTACTACCCCCAACCCTTTGTCATTTCTCTGTAACTAACATTGTGAGATTTGAATAAATGGCCACTGATTACCAACCAACTTGGTGACCCTGGTTCCTTCGTGTGTCTGTCGTGGTCGGCCACTGGGGGGACGGTGATCAGTCCCCAAAGCATCAAAGGGATCCTCAGGTCACAGCACTTGTAACAGTGACACTCCCCTCTCCCCGCCCCCCGGGAATAGCAACACTAACCAAAGTGGGAGACTGGAGGTTTTCAACATTTCTAGAAGTATTGACTGGCACCAGTCCATGGATTTCTGGTTAAAAACCAGTGCTTTTAATAATTTGGAGTGAATTTGTGAAGGGGGGGGGGAAGACAACTCAAATAACTACTTCCTTAAGAGTTTACCATAGAAATTGTATGTGTAAAATGCCACAAGTTTGTGGATTCATCTTTTCTTCCTGGAACTTTTCAGAAAGTTGGCTTCACATGTGATACCACTGTGTAACTCTGACTTAGACCTGTAAGCAATTGCATTAGATGAATCTACAGTTCCTTAGGTTGTCTCTGTTGGTGACTGTTAGGAAGAAATGTCAGTCATGTTTTTTTTTTTCAAAGAATTTTCTAACTTAATTGACAAATATTGACTTTATTTTCTTTGGGTTCCAACTGAACATGTGAATACAGTTTTAGAGTATTAGTACTTGGTGCTGGTCATCTACTTCAGAGAGTTAACATTCTCAAACTAATTCTAGGCTTCTGTAGTTCTTACTGGGCATGAAGTAAACTCCTGAGGGCAACCATGCCCATCCCTGCCTTGCTGTTTCTCTATGCAAAGAGCAAATACTTGATCCATTTTAAAAAATGGATTCTTTTATTTTGGTGGTGCTCAAGGCTTATTTCTGGCTCTGCATTCAGGGACCACTGCGTATGGGCTCGGGGTACCATCTGGGATGCCTGGGATTAAAGCTGAACTGTCCTTCATGCAAGGCAAGTGCTCTCTCTCCAGCCTCTCCACCATTGTTTTAAAATGCCCTGATACTCATTAAATCAGGTTATCTTTTTCTTTATTATTATTAATGAATCATCGTGAGGTACAATTACAGACTTACAAACTTTCATGCTTACGTTTCAGTCATACAATGATTGAGCACCCATCCCTCCACCAGTGCCCATTCACCACCACCAATATCAATATTCCCAGCATCTCTCCCACTCCCATCCCCGCTGCCCCCCCTCCCCCCCGACTCTATGGCAGGCACATTCTCTTTACTCTCTCTCTCCTTTTGGGTGTTGTGGTTTGCAATACAGGTATTAAGTGGCCATCATGTTTGGTCTATAGTTTATTTTCAGCACGTATCTCCCATCCCGAGTAGGCCCTACAAGCATCCTTTACTTGGTGGTCCCTTCTCTGTCTCAGCTGCTAAAACAGATTATCTTTAAAAGAGACTTTTTTTTTTTTTGGACTGGGTCACACCCAGCAATGCACAGGCCCTACTCCTGGCTCATGCACTCAGGAATTACCCCTGGCAGTGCTCGGAAGACCATATGGGATGCAGGGAATCGAACCCAGGTCGCTGCATGCAAGGCAAACACCCTACCCGCTGTGCTATTGCTCCAGCCCCTAAAAGAGACTTTAAAGAAAGGTTTTTATTTATATTTTTAGACCTTGAACTTTTGACTTTGGGCCAGCTCTTAAGATCCAGCTGACCCTGCTGCCATATTTTTTGTTTGCCTGTTTTGGTGCTGTACTAGAGATGAAAGAGAGACTTTTTGGGTTTTGTTTTCATTCAATTTATATTAAAACTGAAATAGGAGTCTTATTCACATTCTTTATTGTTCTAGCAGTGTTTTTAATTTTGTAGTATATTTTTGTCTTTTATTTAAAAAATTTTTTTTATTGAATTACTGTGGCTGGAGTGATAGCACAGTGGTAGGGCGTTTGCCTTGCACGCAGCCAGCCCGGCTGAGCCGGGTTCGATTCCTCCGCCCCTCTCGGAGAGGCCGGCAAGCTACCAAGAGTATCTCGCCCGCAAGGCAAAGCCTGGCAAGCTTCCCGTGATGTATTCAATATGCCAAACACAGTAACAACGAGTCTCATGATGGAGATGTTACTGGGCCCGCTCGAGCAAATCCATGAACAACAGGAGGACAGTGTTTGTTTGTTAGTTTGTTGAATTACTGTGAGATAGACCTTTGCAAAACTGTTCACGATCGGATTTCAGTCATACAGTATTCCAACACCTATCCCTCCAGTATTTCTTTTTTTTTTAAATTTATTGAATCACCATGAGATAAAGCATTACAAAATTGTTCATGATTGTGTTTCAGTCATACATTGTTCCAACACCTGTTCCTTCACCAGTGTAATTTTCCAAGCACCGATGTTCCCAGTTTCCTTCCCCACCCTTTCAAGTCACCCCCACCTCAGCCTGCCTCTGTGGCAGGCAGGCACCTCTCTTCTCTCTTAAAAGAGAGACTTTAAAAATAGACTTCCAGGGGCTGGAGAGATAGCACAGCGGGTAGGGCATTTGCCTTGCACGCGGCCGACCCGGGTTCGATTCCCAGCATCCCATATGGTCCCCTGAGCACCGCCAGGAGTAACTCCTGAGTGCAGAACCAGGAGTAACCCCTGTGCATCGCCAGGTGTGACCCAAAAAAGCAAAAATAAATAAATAAATAAAAATAGACTTCCATTATTTTAATTTATAATCTTTCTTTTTATGAGTTCACATTGAGCATATTTGGGTACCACGTTATTTCCGGGTTTTGGACCACACCTGATAGTGCTGCTCAGAGATCACTCCTAGCTCTGTGCTCAGGAATGACTCCTGACAGGAATCAGGGGACCATATGGGTTGTCAGGGATTGAACCCAGGTCAGCTGCGTGCAAACCATACCCACCATACTATTGCCCCATACCCTGAAGGTAGTTATTGAAAACAGAAGACAGAACATAATTCTATGTTGCTAAGATATGGGTCGAAACATTTTTAAATAGTCACTTTAAACTTTTTAATTACAGGTATGCTCAGACTTTTGACAACTAATGACAAAATACGGGTAACATAAATATCTCAAATATCACACTACTAGAGACATCAACAGCCCAAGTTCTCAGTGTGTCCATTCATTCAGTGAACTTTTATCACATACCTCCGTAGTGACAGAACAGTATGAATGAGCAGCTGGGAGATGTAAAGGCAATGGATGGACCCTGCCTGAGAAGAACTCATCAGGCTACAAAGGAGAGGATGCCAGGTAGGGCAGTGTCCGCTACTCTCCCTTATCTCTGTTCTTGTCATCTACAGGAATCGAATACAAATGTTAATAAATAAAATCCTTTGAGGGGTTAGAGCTACACTTACCTTGCAAGTAGTTGATCCAGGTTTAGTCTCTGGTGTCCCCAAAAGGTCTCCCAACCCCACCAAGAGAGATCCCTGAGCACCAAGCCAGGAGTAAGACCTGAACACTGCTGGATATAGCCCCCAAGCAAACCGAAATAAACCTTTAGCACATTGCTGGGATATAGCTTTGTGGTAGAGTCTTTGAACGTGTGAGGCACTGGGGTTTGATCCCCAGAGCCAGAAAAAAAAAAAAAGAAGAAAATGGTGTTAACACAGCATTTAAAATTTTTTAAACATTATTATTATTATTTTGCTTTTTGAGCCAAACTCCGCATTGCACAGGGGTTACTTCTGCCTCATGCATTCAGGAATTACTCCTGGCGGTGCTCGGGGGGGACCATATGGGATGCTGGGAATCAAATTCAGGTTGGTCGTGTGCAAGGCAAACACCCTCCCTGCTGTGCTATCACTCCAGCCCCTAACACATCATTTTTCTCCCAATAAGATAGGCTGAGAAAACTGAGTAACTGTTCTGTTCAAGTCTCTACACAGAACAAAATTTCAACTGAGTTCTAACTTTCAAGTTCAGGCTCCTTCCAAAGCAGCTGCTTCACCACTAAAAATGGTACCTTCTGGTGTGGGGAATGGGGATACTACTACTAGGAGTGCAAATTTCATACTACTTTGAATTTTGAATTATTTTCTTGGGTATAGCAAATCATCACCATTATATACTTAACTCCAAAGTTAAAGATTTTCGGGCCTCAGGTCATATCCTCTCCAGAGCGCTGGCTGGAATGCTGCCCCAAAAGCAGCAGTCAGATTAGCCCAGTGGCTGTGATCACCCCGCTCATCAAATTAGACCATCCAAATACCTGCCTCAGCTTAATGTTGGGGAAGCCATTTCACCTCAGATGATGTTCTTTAACACTCCAAGGGAAGAACTGGACCATCTATTTCCTTCCAGCTCTGAGCCTCAGTTTCTAAACAAAAGTAAAACTGTAAAACACTGCTATGTCTCTTGTCTTTTCCATTTAGCATCTTATTTTAAAATGCTCTTTTAGGCTTGCTCTTCAAGTCCTTGCTCTCCCTTGAATGTGTCTCACTTGCGTGTCTGTCCCCCCACCCTCCAGGAGCCCATATTCATTTGAACACTTGAGTCCTCTCCTCCTCTCCATCCATGTTTAAGTTTATTTCAACAAAACCTATCCTGCGTCACCAAAAATATAAAACTCTTTCAAAGTCTCGTTTATGGCATTGTCAGATTGTTCATATTTTGTGGCCAATACCCAGTAAAACGACATCATTGAGGGGCTGGAGAGGCAGTATAGTGAACAGGGCACTTCCTTACATGTAAATGACCTGGGTTCCATCCCTGGCACCCCATATAGTCCCCTGAGCACAGCCAGAAGTGATCCCTGAGCACAGAGCCAGGAATAAGCTTTGAGCACAGCTGGGTGTGCCTCAGCCCCATAAAATACAAATAACAACAAGGATGCAAACCCTAAGTCCTTATTAGAACACATCTATACATTGGTTTTTCTTGTAGACATAGATGTTTATGTGTTTTAAATGTGCACAGTATTTGGGGTTGTGTATCTCCTCCACAAGGGATGATAGCAGTAAGTAAACCTTGTAGACGGCTGTCGAAACCAGCACAAGACCTGCGTGCAGGCTCTGCATACAGGAGACCTGGGTTCCATCCCTGGAACCACATGCCTCCTCACTGCCCAGCAACTCCGGTGGCAACCCGTGAGGGGGCCAAAAAAAAAGTTCATTATCATTATAAGGGATTATGTAATAGTAGCTACAACTGTTTGTTTAAAATGGTCGTTGTTTCCTTTTCGTTAAAGTGGAGGAAATGGACTTGGACGTCTGTGTGCCACTTGCTCCTTCCTTGACCCTCATCAACTGCCCTGGACCTATTCGCTGTCCTGCAGAACAAGCATTCGGGGACCTGGACCGGGCAGGGCTGTGCAAGGGTACAGAGGCACGCAAGATGTAGTCTCTGCGCACGGTGAATTCTTGCCCGTTTCTGGCGGCGTTTCTTGGCCTGTGATTTTCGTGGGCGATTTCGGTGCACACATGCGCAGGTTGAACATCTCTGGCCGCGAGTGGACGGCGGAGCAGCACACGACAGAGTCGAAAGCAACATGGACCGAGATCACCCGGGAGGTGACAAGGGGCCATATCGAGGCCCCCGCCTCTCCCGCAAGGCTGCGCTTTTGGGGACTCCTTTTGCGTCCGCCATCCCAGGCGCGAGTGCCCCGGCTTTGGCATTCCCCTCTCCTCCAGCAACACTCGCGGTGTCGTTGTCGTCTCCAGGCCAGACCTTCCCACTCCGTCCCTTTCGCCCCTCGACGCCTGCAAGCCGGGCCAGCCGCGAGCACCGAGGCAGACGCGGCGCGGCGCGGCGCTGCTGGATGACGACACAGCCCGGCGCCCTCCGAACACGTCACTTCCAGAACGCTTCCCGCGCGGAGCCTTGTGGGTAGCCGGCCCGGGTCTCCTGGAGACGACGATGGCGGGGTATGTGGGCGGTCGCAGTTGCACGGACTCGGAGCTCCTGCTGCACCCTGAGCTGCTGTCTCAGGAGTTCCTACTCCTCACTCTCGAGCAGGTCGGGCGCGCGGGGTCGGGTGGGCCTGCATTGGCGGAGGTGCAGGGACCTGAGGTCGCCCCGAGCTGTCCTCGGGCGGGCTGGGACCCTGCGGCGCGCCTGCTGCGGGTTCGGAACGGCGGCGCCCTTGGAATGTCAGCCCTCCCGGGTCCGAGTTCCTCTCTCCTGGCCTGCGTGGTTTCGAGAACTCCTGGGGAGACGCGCCCGTCGGAAGGGCCCGGGGCGGGCGGGCCGACGCGGGGTGGGGGACACCTGAAATGTGCCCCCTGTCCACCTCCCATCTAAAAGAAAAAAACAATAAAGTATCCCCCTTCCCCTCCCTGCCATGGGCGGGATCCGAGCCCCGTGGCTCCCGAGGCTTGTTGCAGGGCCTCGGGACCTCCAGGAGACTCGGCCCGAGTCCGGGAGGGGAACGGGCGGTATACTTATTTTTTTTCTTTTGGATGCACAGGGGTTACTTTTGGCTCATGCACTCAGGACTCACTTCTGGCGGTGCTCGGGGGACCATATGGGATGCTGGGAATCGAACACGGGTGGGCCGCGTTGCAAGGCAAACGCTCTACGCGCTGTGCTATATCATAGCGCCAGACCCATGGGCGGTAGTTTTGTTGTCGCACGCGAGTTCTGCAGCGCGGCCGGCTGATCTCGGCGCCCCGCGGAGTGGGTGAGTGACGTGCGGCCCCGCCGTCTCTGTCGACAGACCCGCGGGTCCACTCCCGGGGCTGCAAGCCTGGACCACCGCCCCGGGCAGCTCTTCTCGGGGTTCTGTGTATTCCGGCCGCCGCGGCGCTTCTTAACCGATGTAGCTGGCTGATGGGTTTCCCGCCTTCATACCGGGGCCTTGCGTGGAGGAGATTGCTTTTCCCAGGCTGTCAAGTCACCAGTGAGAAAAATCGGGGACTGGGGGCTTCCGTTTCAGTTGTACTGAATGTAAAGGCTTCCAGGCCTTGTCTGTGCTGGAGCCAGTGACCGCGCCCGGCTCCCTTCCCGGCGTTGCCAGCGTTTCCTGCTTCTATCTGGGCTGCTCGCATGATGGGGATCCCCTTGGAAGATGGGAAGCCGTGAGGACCTACAATAGGAAGGTCTGCACGATGTGCGGAGGACCCCTTGAACGATGGGGGCCGGGGTACAGTAGGAAGATTGGACTTGGGTGAGAGGCCACAGGCGTCATCCTGGAAACCCACCGCTCCCGCCGCATTAGGGACCTGTCAGTTACTGGAGGTGACCTCCAGTCTCCCTGCCTTCATCCGCATCCCTGCAGCAGTTCCTGGATGCTTTTGTCAAACTCATATTGTTAATGCCATACTGTTGGCCTGGTCAGGTTCCCCCCTCCCCTTCCTCCTGTCCCCCTCCCCCCTACCCAGTCCTGGGTCTCAGAGAGGCTGGCAGAGCGTGCCCAGCAGTCAGTGCTTTCCCAGCAGCAGGCAGGACTGAAGGCTGACAACCTGTGAGGGGTGTGGTCGTGTGTGGCTTGAGTGCCTATCTGGGCCCTGTTACTAGATGAGGGATCCTTATGACAAAGGATGCTGTTTTGAAATCACCTTTGCTTTCTATCCCACAGAAGAACATAGCGGTTGAAAATAACAGAAGCATAAACAAGGACGAGCTTACTGATCTTTATGTTCAGCATGCAATACCATTGCCTCGGAGAGATTTGCCAAAGAACCGATGGGGGAAGATGATGGAAAAGAAAAGAGAACAGCAGGGGATAAAAAATGAGGATAAAAGGTAGTTCGTTTGTTTCTTTCTTTCTTCAGATACTCTTGAGTGGTTTGGGCTTTCATCTTACATTGATAGAGTAGTTTTGTTTTGGGGCGTCACACTGGGTAGTACTTGGGGCTTATTCCTGGTGGAACTGGAGGGCCTTTTGGGGTTCTGGGGAATCAAACCTGAAGTGGGCCATGTGAAAGGCAAGGCTCTATCTGCCATACTGTTTTTGGCTCCTGACTGAATAGTTTTGTCTCTCTGTTTACTCAGGCAAAAGTTACTTCAGCAGCTGTTTATGTAGAATTTCCTGCTAGTGTTTTGAGAAATACATAGTAACAGGTGAAGTAAAATCTGTTTATGTAACAGTGAGAGAAAAGTAAAGGGACCTGGCAGAACCTAAGTAAATCAAACTTGCAGAGAGTAACATCAGCAATCTGCCCTGGAATGCAGAACCCTGCACAGCCACCCCAAGCAAATAGCTGCAGGGCTGGAGTGCCCAGGGAAATGGCCAAAGGGTTGAAACTAATTAGGAAGGATGTTAGTTGTTTGGAAGTTCAATTACAAGTTGAAATGGAGGAGAATATTGTGTAAGAACAGTGACTCCTACGTGCTCTTAGTGAAGATGGTGGCTTCTTCCCTTAAAGCAGTGAGAAGGTTTGGGCAGATCTATGTGAAGATACTAACTGGAACCAGCTGCATTACTGAGAAATTACTGAAGATCGGGACACGGTGATAGTCGGAAAGGATTGCAATTAGAACTGCTGAAACCCAGCCAGTAGGTAGTTATGAGTTTGATTCAGGTGCCAGACTTGATGCTAATAATTAGTTGAGAACTGATCTATAGAAAGTGGGACCCTGAGACAATGGTAGTGGGAAGCAAATTCTGACTAGTAAGGTTGGAATATTGTATGCATGAAACTATCTTGAACATTGTTGTAAATTATGGTACTTGAAAAAGATACGTGTGTATAAAGAATATATGTAAAAGATACATATATATATATATATATATATATATAATCAGGGTCATAGAGCTAGTACAGCAGGTGGGGTGCTGGCCTGTGTGTGGCCAATTTAGGTTCCATCCCTAGCACTCTATATGGTCCCCTGAGCCCTACCATTAGTGATCCCTGAGCGCTAAGGGTGTGGCCTAAAATAGCAAAAAAATCATTTGAGTTCTGTATATCTCTTTGTAGAAAGGGCCAGTAAGATTGCTGAATTATAGGAATAAGACTTTAAGTCTTAATCATAGCACAGTGAAAGTTGTAGCGTTTCAGGTATGCCATTGAAAAGTTTTACATTTCAGATTTTTTTAAAAAATTTTTTAATTTTTCTAAATTTTATTGAATCACCATGAGATAGTTACAAGCTTTCATGTTTGGGTTACAATCACACAATGATCAAACACCCATCCCTCCACTAGTGCATATTCCCACCGCCAATCTCCCCAGATACCCCGCCTTTCCCACCCTCCCCCTGCCTTTGTGGCAGACAGTATTCCCCATACTCTTTCTCTACTTTTGGGCATTATGGTTTGCAATACAGATACTGAAAGGTCATCATGATTGGTCCTTTATCTACTTCTGCACACATCTCCCATCCCTACCGGTTCCTCAAGTCGCCAATTTCTTAGTGATCCCTTCTCCATTCCCCCTGCCTTCTGCCCTCTGCTCATGAGGCAGGCTTCCAGCTATGGAGCAATCCTCCTGGCCATGTCTATCCACTTATAAGCAAATTTCATGACTTTATCTCTCCTAACAGCCGCATAGTACTCCATTGTATAGATGTACTAAAGTTTCTTTAACCAGTCATCTATTCTCGGTCACTTGGGTTGTTTCCAGATTTTGGCTATTGTGAACAGTGCTGCAATGAACATTTAGGTACAGCTGTCATTTCTACTGTGCTTTTTTGCATTCTCGGGATATATTCCCAGAAGTGGTATTGCAGGGTCGTATGGAAGCTCAATTTCTAGTTTTTGAAGGACTGTCCATATTTGTTTTCCAGAAAGGCTGGACTATTGGGCATTCCCACCAACAGTGAAAGAGCGTTCCTTTTTCCCCACATCCACGCCAGCACTGGTTGCTTTTGTTCTTTTGATCAGAAATTTTTTTTCATAAAATAGAAGCATATTAATTTGTTTAATATCATTGGTTAATGACTGGAGTGTCCTAAGAGTGGGCTAGTTATTTCCTTTCCTGTTTTATTGCTGGTGGATGCAAGTGACCGATTAACAACTTTCGGAGGCCTCTGTTTGGGAGGCACTATCTTCGCAGTCCCTGTTGCCATGGGAAAGGATGTAGTAAGAAAGACTGAGGAGAATCATGGAGTTTTAAGTGGGTTGGTTTACTCTCTGCTTATGAAGGGAAAACTACCTCAGTAGGGATATTACTACCTCATTATGATATATACATTTAGTCTTCTGGAAATTAAATATATGTACATCCTGATCAAAGGATCAGGAGCCCAGTCTGCTGCCTGTGAGCCTGGGGTCACATACTGATTGGTCTGGCTACTGTGTACCTTCTCCAGAGTGGAAAGAGGCAAGCAGAGAATCAGAGACGAGCAACTGAAATATGTGTTCGAGGGAGAACACAGGTTTGAGGAGCAGGCCTGGCTTGATTCTTTCTAAGGAAATACTTTTCCTTTTTGGGGCTACTGTACACAGTTTTGAGAGGCTACTCCCAGTGCTCACTGGTCCCTCCCAGCAAAGCCTAGAGTACTGGGAATTGATTACCCAGCTCCTATTTACAAAGCATGTGTTTCAACCCAGTGAACTCCCTCCTGCCCGTGATGATATTTCTTTCTGGTCTGCGTATTCAGGCACATTGACCCAAGTAAATCTTTCAGGATTTTTTCTATTTCAAAGCAAATTTTTAAAAATGTTCTCTAAATAGTTAAGGATTCAGTCAAGATAGAAGCTGGTGGATTTAAAAAGTTATTAATTACCCAGATGCCGGCCTGGGTTCGATACCTGACACTTCATATGTTCCCCTGGACCCCTCCACGACTTATCCCCTGAGCACTGTCTGGGGTGTGTGTCCCCCAAACAAAAAAAATAGAATATTAGATTAAGCTCCAGAGTTGGTTGGTGGATGTACTGTTGAGCTGCATGGAGGACTCCAGATTTGATCACCTGTACTGCATAGCTCCCCCAAGTGCTGTGAGGTATGATTGACAACCTCCCCCCCCCCCCCATAAAAAAAAGAATTGGATGGTGTTTTCAAAATGAAAGTGGTGTATGCATTAAAAGGTGACTTTTAAGTTTCTTGTCAGCAAATACTTAAACATTTAAAACACTAGAAGACTATTGCTTTATTTCAGAGAAACATAGAAAATTTTATTTCTGTAGTTCTACTTAGATGAGTTACCAATAAATCTAATTTTGGTCTTCGTTGTTTGATTTTTGTGTTTGGTGCCTCATATCTGCAAAGGTTATGTTCCCCCCCTGATCTCCGTCCCCTGCTCAGGTTGGTTTCCAGCGAACTGGTTCTTCATTAGTATGGTATTTTTCTTTGGTTTTAGGAGTGGCTCTGTGGACGGATTAAGGAAAAGACCCCTGATTGTATTTGATGGAAGTTCGACCAGTACAAGTATAAAAGTGAAAAAGACTGAGAACGGAGATAATGACCGACTCAAACCCCCGCCTCAGGCAGGCTTTACCAATCATGCCTTTCAGAAATTTGCAAATTCCTCCTCCTTGATTTTGTCTTCCAATTTGCCTATGAACAATAAGATGGAACACGATAATGACAGTAAACAGAATCATGACTTAACACACAGGAAAAGTCCTTCAGGACCTCTGAAGTCACCACCTTTGTCCCCAGTTGGAACGACTCCGGTGAAGTTGAAACGAGTGGCCCCTAAGGAAGAAGCTGAGGTGGTAATAAGTGCGGGATGGGCTGTGGGTTACATGGTGCTGTCCGTCTCAGCTGGTGGCGGGGTGGGGTGGGGGCGCGCAGCTGTTTCGTGAACTTTGGATGATCTATCTGGTTTTTACATGTAGTTTCTCTGTGTTTCAAGCCCTTGGTGATAGGATCATTCTTTCAAAAGTGCATTTTGTTTATTTTAGCTTTAGATGTGTAGAGAAACACTTTGGCGGGGTCAGAAAATTAAGAATTTATCTGGAGTCACACACTTGTTAACTTTTTGAACATTGTAATTGGCGGGAAGTGGGGCACTTTGCAGCAGTGCTCTGGAACTGCGGCCACTCCTGGCGATTCAGGCCCAGCTGTACAACCTGATGTATGTGCAGCCTGGCTTTTATACAACCTGGCGTTTGTACTACCTGATATTTATACAGCTTAGCATTTGTGCTACCTAACAGTTGGTGCTCTGGCTGGCCTCAAGGTGCTGGGGGCCCCCAGGACTATGCCCGCCAGTGCTCCTGGGGCTGTGAGTGGGGAACCTGATCCCTGATCTGTGTGCTCCACCCATGTAAATTAGCTCCCCTTTTTCTACATATATTTCTCTACATATATTTATTTAAATAGCATTTTTGAGTTTGACCATAACTTTTTGTATTTTGTACTTTAAACCACACTATAAGGATCTACTGCCTCATGGCCTCCTGATGGAGGAAGTTGTAGTTAGTTGAGGTAACTTGGGGGAGGGAGATCTACTAAATTACTGTGTGTGTGTGTGTGTGTGTGTGTGTGTAGAGTTTTAAAATAAATTTATTTATTGAATCACTGTGAGAGCAGTTACAAAGCTTTCGGGTTTAAGTCTCAGTCATATAATGATGAAACACCTGTCCCTTAACCAGTGCACATTTTCCATCACCAAAAACCCCAGTATACCACCCCCCCCCATCCCACACCCTCCTACCTGTGGGGCAGATGATTTCCACATTACTCTCTCTCTACTTTGATTACTTTCAATATTTTGACGCCAGACCCACCATTATTATTTGTGATTTTACCCCAACACTCAGATCTGCCGAAAAGGCAACCGTAGACTATTTGGACTTCTGAAATCTTAATAATTAAATCTGGAGGGGTTTCTGCCAAAAGCTGCTGGGTTCCGAGATTTGTTTCTGAGTCTTTGGAATTATGGCTTAAGCAGCTTGAGTAGCCAGAGGGCCTGTTCATGGGCAGTGACTCAGTATTCAGGGTCTCGTTGAGGCGGGGGAGTAAAGCATTGAGGCAGGGGAGTATAGGGCTGATTCCACCTCCATCCCGTGAGGCTCTGTGTGTCTCGTCACTGTGGACCCCTACCTGGCTGTCCGTTGGCCTGTGGAAGATGGTAGACCCCAAGCCGCTAGGCGGAACAGGCTGTGTATTTGATTTTTACTGTGCTCCAAAGTTGTGCCATGGTTCATGTAAGCACTTACATACATGATTTCATAAGGTAAGGTAAAGGCCCTCCCGTTGTTCATCGATTTGCTCGAGCGGGCCCAGTAACGTCTCCATTGGAGACTTTGTTGTTACTGTGTCTGGCATATGGAATACGTCACGGGGAGCTTGCCAGGCTCTGCCGTGTGGGCGAGATACTCTCGGTAGCTTGCCGGGCTCTCCGAGAGGGGCGGAGGAGTCGAACTCGGGTCGGCCATGTTGGCTGCGTGCAAGGCAAACGCCCTACCACTGTGCTATCGCTCCAGCCCCATTGGAGCGATAGCACAGCGGTACATGAACATGATTTCATATGTTGGCAAATTTGGTAGTTATTTGAAGAGATGATTTATCTATACTGTGATATAGACCGATTGATATGTACAGATGTAGTCTCCCCAGGGTTCTTCAGAAAAGTGATCTCACTTTAAAATATGCAGCAGCTTTGTAGCCTTCCTTTTCTTGTTCTCTCAGTCTCTCCTGTAATGAAAATATCTGACTGGATGGTCAGACAAGTCATTTGCTTCTTCAGTGCTCTCCAGCACTGGGAAGTGCAGAGGCAAGGCTCTGGCACACTCATTGTCTGGCGGTGTCTTCCACTGCCAGGTCTTAGCCAACTCTTCACTTACTGGGGACCACATGGTGGAAGGGACAGGAACTCGTGTCTCTTAAGGGACCTCAGTCCCCTACATCCCAGCTTTGCCTTCACCTCTCCTGGGCCTTCAGACACGTTGGTGTTAATGATTAATTTTCTTTGAAGTGTTGCTGGGGATTGAACACATGCAGGGCGAGTGCTATACCATTCAACCACATCCTTTGGTCCCCAGTTTGTAACTTTTGAGGCGTCACAAACAGTCCACAGCATTCCGTGGTATGCTTTGACATTATCATTGCAGATCATATCAAAGGGATCAAAACAAAACTGCTGACTATTTCACCAGAGTTATTTGTGTGTGTCAGGGTGGAGGGCCAAAGAGAGGGGGGAGACTGGGTCTTGTTTATACAAAAACTCAGAATTCTACTGAGTTAAATCTCTGACCTTCAAGCTTATTTTTTAGTTAATTGGATCCTTTCACCAACCTTAGGATTTTGGCATAATAGTTACTCCTATTTCATAGATACAAGTTTAGAACATTAAAATAAATTCATCCAGGGTTCCAAAGTTAGTAAGTGGCCAGACTGCAGTCTGAACTGAGGTCTGTTTGACTCCATATCATGTACTGCTTATAACACCAGGCTTTCTCCATAGTCGGTAGCCCCAAGACGGGCGCAGATGTGTGTGGGGGGATTAGGAGCCAATAGAATGGGCCAGAGAGGGCACAGCAGGGTAAAGTGCTTGCCTTGCACATGGCCAACCCAGATTTGATCCCTGGTGTGACACATGATCCCCAATGAGCCCCATCAGGAAGTGATCCTTGAGCACAGAGCGATTAGTAAGCTCTGAGCACTTCTGGGTGTGACCTCGAAACAACCATAAATTTTTTCATATTAAGATCTTGGATGGTGAGAAGCCGGAGCAATAGTACTGCGGGTAGGGAATCTGCCTTGCATGTGGCCAGCCCGGGTTCAAATCCTGGCATCCCAGGTGGTCCTCTGAGCACTGCCAGGAGTAATTCCTGAGTTCAGAGCCAGGAGTAGCCCCTGAGCTTCGCCGGGTGTGATCCAAAAAAGAAAAAAAGAAATCTTGGATGGTGAGATTGGGGGAGATGTGAGTCAGGAAGAAGGAAGCAGGTCAGGAGCTATCAGTGGTTCTTAGCTCCGAGTAACCTAAAAACCCAGACAAAGCATTACTCCCACTCTGCTTGGGTTTATTTTATTGATACTGTGATAAGATTCAGTCCGCATATTTGTAAGTGCCCAGGGCAATTATAAGTTGGAAACATCTGACAATGACTGTGAGAAAAATGGGAGCCAGGGCTGGGGAGATAGATGGCTCAAGAGCTGGAGTACGCATGCTGCCTAGTGTGTGGCCCCAAATTCCTGTGTCTAGCCTGAATGGCACCCCAAGACTGCTAGCTGTGGCCCCGGTGCCTCCCAGTACCTCCAGGCCCAGGCAGCATCAAGCCTCAGACCTTCCAGCCTAGACCTTAGTCACAAGTGGCCCTGGTGTCCTTTGCTGAGGAGGAAAACCTTATTGAAAATGGAAAGGAAATTATGAACCTGGGGGATTTCCTTGTTTATCTAATTTAAACATTCTTCCCCACCAGGGGGCAGCACTGCTCTGCTGGTAATGCTAGTAAACTTGGGCCCTTTTTTTTTTTTTTTTTTTTTGCTTTTTCGGGTCACACCTGGCAATTCTCAGGGGTTACTTCTGGCTCTGCACTCAGGAATTACTCCTGGCGGTGCTGGGGGGACCATATGGGATGCTGGGGATCGAACCCAGGTCGGCCGCATGTAAGGCAAACGCCCTACCCACTCTGCTATCACTCCAGCCCCTAAACTTGGGTCTTAACTAAGTCATTTCAGTTATTTCCTGACAATTTGTTTCTCTGTTCATAAATTGATTTTTATTTATGTCTTTCAGAACAACCTGAAGCCCCCTGAGGCAAAGAAGAAGATACAGCATGTTACGTGGCCATGAAAGAAAGTTTCTAGAAGTGAAAAAATAATTTTAACTGTTGTTTTTAAAGACAAATTCACATATCTGACAGTATTTACAAACATCCTGATTTTTGTGGGAAATTGTTAAGTTTATAATTAGGTTCGAAAATCATTTTCCTTTCCTTGTCCCTTTCTTTAAAAAACAGCCCTCTGGCTTTTTCTGCCCCGGTGAAGAGTTTCGTTCGTGAACACATGACTCCAAGTGTGTGTAAAGCATCCAGTGGATTTTAGGGATTCTCTTTAGTCTGCTCCAGTCATTGGGGAAATTGGAGATTTGCTTTTATTTGAGTAGTTGACAATTTTTACCTTTCCTAAACATTATCAAACAGTTGTTCATCACAATATTTTAGTAAGTGCGGCCACTGATCCTAAAGGTCCACCAAGAAAAATGTATTTGTATTGCAAGCAGAAAAAAAGATGCAAACCACACAGACAAAATTGCTGTTCTTTAAGTGCTTACATTGCTTCCCATAAAAATCAAAAGGGAAGTCAAGTGTTTACTCTCACTCCTCCAAATTCCTAACAGAATTGGAGGTCTTTTGGAGCTGACTGGTCAGTTTTGTATGTAGTCCACCATGTATTCCATGTAATAGCCCATCAGTGGTCTGTGTTCACATTCTGTGATCCTGGGGTACCCTTCCCAGGAACTGGAACTTTCCAAAATGAAGCTGGCTTTCAAATTGTCAGGTAAGATAATCATGGCAGAGGTCATAAAAAGTGGTGGCCGAAAATTGAGGAAAGGAAGAGGAGGTCAGAATTCTAGAACATTCAGTTCAGGAAGTAAATGTTCAGTAGGAAAACTCTGTGATCTGGTATGTGTGAGCTGAGGAGCTGCTGGGCTCTTGTCACCAGAGTTGAGGACAGAAATGCAGGGCCAGCTGGAGGAGCGCCTGCCAGTGGCTGAGGAGAGTTTTGGGCATGCTGTCACACGCTGCATCTACTAAGGTGTGGTGGTACCATTCCAGCTGTGCATTAGAAGGTGCTGGGAAATTGGTATTGCTGGCATTCACGAGTTTTACTGTCTTTTCTGCTTTATGTTCTAACCAAGTACAAAAGATACTTTACACCTCCTGTAAGCCTGTGATTTTCAAGTTGGTGTTTGCCTATGAAGTAGTTTAGAGGAGTCTGTTCCGCTTTCGATTTGTTAAAGCAGCATGTAGATCATGGTTGGAGCTTAATGATTAAATGCAGTCTCTTCATGCATGAGACTCTGGGCTCAATCCCAGCACCAAAATAATAATAATAATAATAATAATAAAATAAAGTAGCATTTCCATTCAGCTAATAGCCTTACCAAAAAAAAAAATCATTCAGCCTTGCAGGTAAGTACTGTGTTGTACTAAAACTTTAACCCCATAGTTTTTAGCCATTCTGCCTTTATCCACACTGTAAATCTGTACGTAGGAGACAAAATTGATACTTACTAACTGTTGCACCAATTATTGTCATAAATTGGTAAATATTATTTGCACAGCTGATGTATGTCATATTATTGAAGGACACTGTGATTATATACATCCATGTTAAACAGTTTTGAAGTGCAGATTTTAGGGTAGAATCATGAGTTATATTTTATATTTGGTTGTTCCCTCTGCTTCCATCCCTATTTTCTCTTAGTTAAGGGGAGAGTTAGCTATCTGACAATTTTAAGTCAGTGGAGACTGACTTTAGTTACTCAGAATTAATTTTTAATTTGTACATTTAACTTACAAAGTAGGTTGGTAAGAACAGCTGAACTGTGTAACATTGTTGCTTCAAATTGAAGTTTATATAACTAACATTCAGAATCAGTGCTCATATAGCAGCATATAACTGAGTGAGCTATTTGAGTATGGGGTATGGAGCAGTGAGAAACTGTATTATGTGTTTCTTGGCAGAGGATGTTGTGATTTCTCCCGGTAGATTGACACCACTTATGTTTCTCAGCATAGCAAAGCCCGCTGAGGGCTGGGCATCTGAAACATAATTGGGGTGCTTGCATGTTGCTGTGTTGCTTTGGTCCCCTTGTAAAGGTTAGAAGGAGGACTTGATTGGAAAGGTCAAAGCTTTGAGTTACTATTTATTCGTTATCACGGATGAATATTGTACCCCTTGATTCTCTATTCCTGTACAGCCAGGCTTTAATTAACGTGGTAAGTAAATAAAGCCTTTTGGTCACTGAGTGTGGATTCCAGGCTGTGCTTGGCAGGCACTCCACCCCCACCTGCCTTTGCTGGCAATCTTTATTCTTTTTTCCTCTCCTTGTGTCTTATTTTCCTTTGTCCTCTCTGCCCCTCGTTTTCACTTGCTTCCTACCGTTCTGTGGACCCCAAGCTTCAGTCTTAGGTTGCCAATTCCATTGCTTGACCCTACCTGTTCACTGAGGGGTGTGGAGGGCCATTCTCTTAGATCTGAAAGGTCTTCGGCTGCTTAGAATTATGGGAGACCTCAGGACCCTGTCACAGGAGGACACTACGTGGTGTGAGGACAATGCAATTGGTCAGAATAGCTTATTAACCCCGACCGCTCCCAGACACTTTGGCACGTTGGAGCAGTTACTACTATGAGGCATAGTACTTTGACTAGTATCGAAATTCTTCAGCATTAATGATTTGAAAATATATTTTGGTTGACTTATATTTTGAGAGAAGATTCTAAAGCTGATCTAATAGAGACTCATTCAATAGCAATGACCTTTAAAAAACTTACATTAAGTAAAACTGCCAGTAGATTAAATTGTATGTATGTAAGAGCCTCCTCTATTTACTACTGTGGAATTTCAGTAATTTTTAGAGGCTGCAAAATGGTTAAATGTTTTTTTAGGTGTGCTCTTTTATTAAATGCTTGTGCAGGTTTTATAATTCGCTACAAAGAGATTTAACCTTGTACATTTTTGTATGTAAAAAGTTGTAAGTAGCTTTATCCTTATTTAAATAAACGAAATAAAATAATTGAGTAAGTCTGTCATTCATAAAAATGTGGGGAAAGCCACTCTTAATGACTTGCCCTCTTTATTCAAACAAGTAATTTTTTTTTTTAGAGCAATAGCACAGTGGAGGGCATTTGCCTTGCAAGCCGCCTGCCTGGCCGAGCTGGGTTCGATTCCTCCGCCCCTCTCGGAGAGCCTGGCAAGCTACCGAGAGTATTTCGCCCGCACGGCAAAGCCTGGCAAGCACCCGTGATGTATTCGATATGCCAAACACAGTAACAAGCCTCACACTACTGGGTCCACTCGAGCAACTCAATGAACAACGGGAAGACAGTGCTACAGTGCTAGTAATAACAAGTATTTCTTTATTAGTTAACAGTTATCACTATACCAATGAGATTTTGAAGGTAAAGGACTATATCCATAATTTAAACAAGCAATATTGAAAGTATCTTCTGAGGGTTTGGCATTCTGGGCCCAGGGTGATTGGGATCATGATGGATCCAGAGTCCAGTCAATCTTGGGGGCCTGCTGGAAAGGACAGTCCCATCCATGTGTTGGAGCTGCCATCACTGTCACCGGTTTTGCAAAATCTAGAACCAGAATCCAGCTCCTGTGACCATTCCTCACTGGGACAAACCAAGATCTTTTTTTAAATTTATTATTGATACTTACTAACTGTTGCACCAATCATTGTCATAAATTGGTAAATATTATTTGCACAGCTGATGTATGTCATATTATTGAAGGACACTGTGATTATATACATCCATGTTAAGCAGTTTTGAAGTGCAGATTTTAGGGTAGAATCATGAGTTATATTTTATATTTGGTTGTTCCCTCTGCTTCCATCCCTATTTTCTCTTAGTTAAGGGGAGAGTTAGCTATCTGACAATTTTAAGTCAGTGGGTACCCATCCCTCCACCAGTGCCCATTCTGCACCACCAGTGATCCAAGTAGCCCTACCCCCCACCCCCCCTCTGTGGCAGGGCATTCCCTTTTGCTCACACTTTCCTTCAGAGTCTTGCAGTTTGCAATAGAGGTATTGAGTAAGATCTATGTTTGGGGTGATTTTCAATTAATTTCTAAGTTGGCATTTTAGTGATAGATAATGCAGCTCTAAATTGACTGAATTAGAAAAGCCTTGGGGTAGATGCCTCCCCCCTTCAGTCTGGACAGAAAGGACAAAAATGCTTATTTCTTTTTAGATTGTTTTCGGGTGCTTTTTACTAAAAAAAAAATAGTGGCCCTACTCCGTCATTTATTAAACTCCATTGTCTTATCTAAGGCAGGGGGAAAAATTCTGTATTAATGGTGGTCCTACAAGAGAAGACAAGTGAGCAGTGAAATGCTGGGTTATCATAGTGACAGAAAGTCAAACCGAGTCAAGGATAGAGGAAGGCTGGGTGCAGAGCTACTTGAAAAAAGTGCATAGAGACCTGGAGAGATAGAATGGGGGCAGAGGGCACTTTACACTTGGCTGACAACCCATATGGTTCCACAAAACCTGCTAAGAGCGATCAAAGTATGGGGGCTGGAGTGATAGCACAGCGGGTAGGGCATTTGCCTCGAACGCAGCTGACCCGGGTTCAATTTCCAGCATCCCATATGGTCCCCTGAGCACTGCCAGGAGTGATTCCTGAGTGCAAAGTCAGGAGTAACCCCTGAGCATCACCAGGTGTGACCTGAAAAGTAAAAAAAAAAAATTTAAAAACATGGAGGGTTAGGGCTATGATCTAAAGTGCTGGAGCACACACTTCCACATGTGAGATCCCTGGATTTAACCCCTGGCACCAACCCTGAATCTTGTTGAGAGCATTCCCTGAGCACCTAGTTAGGAATACCTCCTGAGCTTTGCTGGGTGTGGCCCCCAACCAACCATCTGCCCAGGTTTAAAAAAAAAAATGGAAATTTGAAGGGCTAGTGAAGGAGACCAAGCCCTCCCCACCTCCCCCCCCCCCAACACACACACACACACACACACACACACACACACACACACACAAATAAATAGAGGAAATGGGAGAAGATGACTACAGCTTTTCGTAAGTCTGGGAGCTTAGTCATGATGGTTGTCTTGGGTGGTTTTCTTTACCTGCCTCTGCTATCTTGGCTTCATCTTGCCAACTGCGGTCAATCATCCCAAGGACCTTTCTCCACAAAGAGGTGGAAAGCTCTTCTTTCCCTGAGGGAAGCCATACAGCTGTCATCCCAGAGTGTTACCACATAGCTAAGGTTGGTCTAAGTACACTTGCCAGCTGAGTGAGGGGAAGGAGAGCCCACGAGGAGTGGAAGCGGGGAGCAAACAGGCTGGCAGACCTGGAGCTAAGATTAACCCCCAGTGTGGTGGCAAATGCAGGGATGTGGCCTGGAAATAGTTAACTAGTGACAGAGTCAGCGCTAGAATTAAGTGAAAATTCCCGGAATCTTCAAGGGAGCAGCACACTGAGTGGGAGATAGAGAAGGAATGTCAGGGATAGAGAAAGCCCCACCGTTTGTACGTACTGCCACAATTGGGTCATGACTGAAGATGTTCGTTTGCAATGCTGAAAGAAGACAAACCTTAAAATGATCTAGTACAGTGCAACAAACACTTTCACATTTATTCTTTATTGAATTCTTAAATACCGGTAAGTCTTAACTACAGATAGTGAATTTCTTCAACTGAAATATGTGAGTACTCTCCAAATACACAGCAGGAAATGGCATATGTTTTGTTAAAGATGCGACATCTCACACTTCACACCGCTGATATACCAGCAGTAGCAACCACATTGGATGGGATGTAAAACAGAAGGCAATCAATCTTGTTTAAAATATTTACACGTAGGGCTTAACCTGTAACAACAATCTCTTATACAAGGGCTTCATTGCTCCACGGTGAGATCAACAATCTTCGCACACTTTCTTCTAAGGAAATCTATTAGGGCCTTTTACCGGGGCAGTCTTGGGTTGTGGTTGGGAAATTAGGAAGTAATAGTGGTGGGATAGGTGTTGGAATATCGAACGTAATAAATCATTGTGAACAACTATAAAGCTAAAATTAAGTTAAAAAAAAATAAAGGTGCAAAAGTGCCTGTTGTGGGCCTCTTGGGCTGCATGGCACTCAAATAAGCAGCCCTAGGTGTGTCCAGTTGAGGCCCTTCACAAGGTGGGGCCTCCCAGCCACTCGATAAGCCTTGGGCTACATAGCACTCACATAAGCTCACAGGGTGGGGCCTCCCAGCCAATTGATAAGCCCCTGCTACTAGTACCTGGTCCCTGAACAGGCTGAGTGTCAGAGTCAGGATGTGCTGTGCTTCTCTGGCCTGGCAGATCTGTCCCTGGAGTGCTTGTGGCATCTGGTGCCAGGTCCATACTTGGGTGTCCTGTATACGAAGCTCATCTTCAACTCTCCCTGGTACCCAAATGAATTTCTGGTTCTTTTTTGGTTTTTTTTTTTTTTTTTTTGCTTTTTGGGTCACACCCAGCGATGCACAGGTGTTACTCCTGGCTCATGCACTGAGGAATTACTCCTGGTGGAGCTCGGGAGATCATATGGGATGCTGAGAATCAAACCCAGGTTGGCTGCGTGCAAGGCAAACACCCTACCCACTCCAACGCCTCAAATGATTTTTTCCCTGCTTCGTGTTGCAGCAGAAGTCTAGGGCCTATGCTCGATCACTGAGCCACAAACATGGTCCCTCACACTAATTTTTAAGAAAACCAGCAGTGAGGGTCTATAGGAAGGGAACACCTACCTTGCCAGTGTATGGTTGAGTGTTTGGGTTCCGCATGGGTCAGGTAAGAGTCTCCTCCCACCCCCCACCCCCAAACCATCTCTAGCCATACCGCACAGCCGGAGGTGCAAGCACCATCCACACAAGAAAGGGTTGGGTTGTTGATGAACATCTGTAACTGGAAAGATGGTGAGTGCCATGGCCCATGTAGGACCCCTGATGTGCAAGTCTGGTTGCAACCCCCAGAAGGCACCACCCGCCATAACTCAACCCAGTGCACTCCAGGGCACCACTACCAGGTGTCAGTGCTGGCTGCACTGTCAGCCTGGCAGTCAGCTGCTCCCAGGACTGAAGCCAGTGGTGAAGAGGCCATCCGCTGCCTGCTGTTGAATACAGGACCTCGCGTGTGCCACCGTTCTGACTTTCTGAGAAAAATCACAGTTTGGTCTGATAATATTTATGTCCTTTACATATTAAAAAAATTTTTTTTGCTTTTTTTTAGGGGGGGGTCACATACTCCTGGCTCATGCACTCAGGAATTACTCCTGGTGGTACTCAGAGGACCATATGGGATGCTGGGAATCGAACCCGGGTCAGCTGCATGCAAGGCAAACGCCCTACCTGCTGTATGAACAGGCTTCTGCTAAGCTAGGAGTGCTCCAGGGACCCCTTCTGCCCACCCCTTGGGTGCCTGATTGCGCCCCTCTTTGCCATTTTAATTTTACCAGGGGAAATGAAAAAAAGAAGCTCTAGGTCCTGAGCAGGAGAAGGTGAAAAGTGGCTTGCACTGACCGCGCCATCCTTAGTCCATCTCCTGCTCCTCAAGCAGGTGCTCAAACTACTGCACCAAATGCAAAATGTCAAATTAAAAGAGGAAAAGAGCTCTGGAGCTGGGGCAGAGAGGAAGGGGCGAGGGAGGTAGCGTGGTGCTCCCTGAGGGAACTTTTCTGCCAAGGGTCCTCTGGATATCTGAAACTGGGTTTGTGGGTGATATAGGACAGGCAAACCATGAGACTCAGCCATCTGGTGTACCCCATCCCAGCTTCAAATGAAAGGTAGTGAATATGAGATACTAGTGAACAGGGACCATCAGACCTTGCATCCATACCATGATCAGGCGAACAGGCCAGAAAGTATAACTACTTATAACTTTCATGTCAAATGGTGAGTAATTCATCACGCCATTCCCGGCAAAAGTTTTGTCCTGAAGGCCTTTATTGTATGTGACATAAATCTTGACTTCCACTGTAGCAGGGAGTCATACAATTGTTGATACCGACACATTTGCGGCATGCTCATTGCACTTGAAAATTAAATACACAGTGTTGGGGCGGGGGGGAGCGGAGTGTTGAGGTGGGAAGAGGGGGGGAGGGAGGGAGGAAGAGAGAGAAAGAGAGGGGGAGGGAGAGAGAAAGAGAGAGAGAGAGAGAGAGAGAGAGGAGAGAATGGTACAGAAGTGGAAAGAGCACTGGGAAGGATTTTTAGACTGGCATGTGCTTGGCTTGATTATGAGAGTTCAGAATCATTGTCTCACCTAAAGCCTACCGCAGTTTTCTCCAGCCCTGGGACAGCACTAGCACAAGGAGGAAAAGGGTTGCTTGGACGTGCAGATCACAGGGCATGGGGGGCGGGGGGGAGGGGGGTAAGGGGGTGGGGTGTGTGTGTGTGCAGAATTGGGCCTGGTGGTGGAGCCGAGCTGAGGTGGAGGCCAGGACGCAGGCAGCTAGCAGGGAGACACGGCGCTCAGATGTTCTTCCCACAGTCAGGACACAGGATGTCGTCCTGCTCGGTGAGGAAGCCACGTCCCACCAGCGAAAGGGAGCACTTCTTGCAGTTGAAGCAGTTGTCATGCCACTGCCGGTCCTCGAAGGAGATGTACTTGGTGCCACCTATACCTGGGGACAGAGAACAAGCCCGGTGAAGAGAAGCTGCTGCTGAGGTAGGAGTTTAGAAAGGAGTTTCAGGGCCTTCAGTCTGGAAGCTCGTGCTGGGTAGTGGGGGTGGGGAATGATTTGGGGCTGGGCACCAGAACCCCCAGGGCACTGACATGCAACAACACCACAGAGAAATTTGGTCATGAAACGATGTGCTCAACCAATGCTCTCATTTTGAAGTCCTTGTTGTATTTACCTTTTGTTTTTGTCTGTCTTTTGGGCCACATCCAGCTGTGCCCAGGGCTTACTCCTGACTCTGTGCTCAGGAGTCACTCTTGGGGGTGCTCAGGGGACCATATGTGATGCCAGAGATTGCACCTGGGTGCGCAAGGCAAGCACCCTACCCATTGTACTATCTCTCCGGCCCTATGTGTTTACTTATTAAAGATGTATTTACTTATTCACGTAGGGTGAAACTGCAGGAGATTAGCATTTTGTTTCTCCCATACCTTCACTCAGTGTCTTGTGCCCCTGCTAAGACGATTTGTGATGGGTGAAGTTATCAAAGCCATGTAGGAGAGGGCTTTTTTTCCCCTCTGTATAGGCCATGAAAGGTCTCCCAAAAGTGATATGGGAGGCTGGGGTTAGGCAGAAGGGATTGATATTCTTGCACAGTGGGTGGCACGTGACAAACTGAATGTGTAAACTCAGATGACAGAGTTTGGTCAGAGTCAGAAGTCCCATGAGCTGGGAGCAAGATGCTGCAGCTACTGGAGATGGGAGATCGCTCTGACTCCGCATGGGCAGAAAGAAGCTCCCCTCCGATATACAGTGAAATAGAAACATCAGTTCTGGGGGGCTGGAGCGATAGCACAGCAGATAGGGCACCTTGCACGTGATTGACTTGGTTTGGATTCCCAGCATCCCATATGGTCCCCTGAGCACCACCAGGAGTGATTCCTGAGTGCAAAGCCAGGAGTAACCCGAGCATCATTGGGTGTGACCCAAAAAGCAAAAAAAAAAAAAAAAAAAAAGTCAGTTCTGCTCAGAACCTGGCCTGGGCCTCCTCACGCTCACCTGCTGTCACTCCTCTCCCCCATCTCCCCCACCCCGCGCCCGTGTGCAGGACCCTGAGGCTCACCGCTGATGGGGTTGGTGCAGCCGGCGCATTTCTTGGCGTGCAGGTCGCAGAAGCAGTTGATGCAGTAGGCAGAGTCATCCCGGGACGTGAAATGCTGTCCTGACAGAGGCTTCCCACAGACGGCACACACGAAGCATTCCTTGTGCCAGTTCTGTTCGCGATAGCTGATGCCACTGGTGATGATGGGCTGGGGGTGCGGTGGGGGCGGCCCACAGAGGTCAGTGTGCTGTGCACGTGTCCTCACCCCCAGCGCCGCCCCCGCCCTGGCCCCATTGCATCTCTGCTGACACCGGCTCTCCAGCCCAGAACTCTGAGGTGGCGTTCAGGACCCACCCGGGGACTCTGTCCCTTCACTTCACGCTCCCACAGAGGGGACTCGTGTTGTTGAGGATTGTCAGGCCCTGCCAAGTGGAGGCTGGAACCCCACCCTGGTCTTGGGCCTAGCACGGGCAGGCCCAGCACAGGCTTCCCAAGGCAGTGCTGCCTCTTTCCAGCCACCAAATAGAATGATTAGATGGGGAAGAAAAAGGAAGAAAGTGCAACTCATTGCCTTCGATCTTGAGAAGAAGCAAATGTGAAGAGTGAGCAGCGGAGAGGTCCTGCAGGAGTGACCAGTCCTGAGGGGGCAGAAACTGGGGCATGGTGGGGGCGGGGGGGCGGGACAGAAGGTCAGAGTGAACGAATGAGCCTGTCACACATGGTTCCCACCGGATGGACGAGCTGCCCGTCCACGTGCAGAACCTTTCTCAGCACTTATTTTCTCCTGCCCTCCCAGCCCTGCCGGTCCTCCACACTGAACTAGAAGCTCCTTGGCGATTCAAGTAGAGCATGGACAGTTCAGCCTCAGGACACTGTGTGAGTCCTTCCTTCCCATTACCATCAAGGCACCCACAGAAGCAGAGATCTGGAAGCAGCCTCAGTGCAGGATGGCAGAAAGGCGGCTGAGCTCAATCGCACCTGAAAGCGGCCTCAGTACCCACGTCTGTCTCCAGGCACCATGTGCAGAAGCACCTACCTGGCCATGGAGACGCCTCAATGGCCCCCTACTCTCCTCCCCGCAACTCCCACCCCCATTCCCAAACACTGCCAGACTGTAACATGCCTCCTGCAGAAAGGAGGAGTCGAGGGCCAGGGCCCAGGGTTGACGACAGCTACCTTGTGGCACTGGATGCAACGCATGGCATACTGCTTCTCATAGCAGGGCAAGCAGTAGTTCTCATCGTCCTTTGGGATGAAGCTCTTGGTCCCAATCGGCTCCTGGCAGTGATGGCAGACGAAGCACATCTCATGCCAGTTATAGCCCTTGTACTCCATCTTGCGGGTACCTGTCCCAGAGCCAGAGAGGGCAGAATTTTTTGGTTAGAAATGACTGGCTTGCTCCCCCACCCCAACAAGACCCTGAGATGATGCCCACGAACGACCCCTGGCTACTTATTAAACTCCTTAATGGCCATGATCCCAGAGACACACAAACGAATCTCGGAACCGAGCGGTTCTTGGCAGAGATCTCTCCAGACCCTAATTATTAAAATTTTAGAATTCCAAGACCTTGCGGCCATGCAACATCATATGCTATTCATAACCAGCAATGGAAAACAAATTGTCTAGCGTTGCCTTTTCGGCAGGTCAGAGTTTTGGGGGAAAAGCCAAAATATTAATGGTGGGAGATATAATGGTGTCGAAATACTGAATGTAATCAAAGTAGAGAGAGTAATGTGGGAATTATCTGCCACACAGGCAGGGGTAGGGTTGGGATGGGGTTTTTAGTGGTGGAAAATGTGCACTGGTGAGGGATGGGTGTTTGATCATTGTATGACCGAGACTCAAGCATGAAAGCTTTGGAACTGTTCTCACAGTGGAGCGATAGCACAGTGGGTAGGGCATTCGCCTTACAAGCGGCCAACATGGCCGACCCGAGTTCGATTCCTCCGCCCCTCTCGGAGAGCCCGGCAAGCTACTGAGAGTATTCGATATGCCAAACACAGTAACAACAAAGTCTCCAATGGAGACATTACTGGGCCCGCTCGAGCAAAATAAGTAAATAAATTAAAAAAAAAAAAAGATTGGCTGCAAGGGGGGAGGGGTGTATGTACATACATGAGAGAGAAAGGGGGGAGAAAGGGAGAGAGGGAGAGAGAGAGGGAGGAGGGAGGAAGGGAGAGGGAGACAGAGAGTGTCAGGGGGTGAGGCACTGGCCTCACATGCAGTCACCACCGCAGGCTCTCCACTTGCTACTGCATAGGACCCCCGCCCCTCCCCATCCACACCAGGGTTGTGTGCCTGAGTGAAGGCCCGGAAGAAAGCCCAGGGCACCGCTGGGTGAAGCCTAAGTAAGCAAAACTCCAAAAAGAAAAAGAAACACCAGGTCAAAGTACCAGAGAGACAGCAAGTGGCGGGGGGCGGGGGGGGCGGGGGGGGTGGGGGGGAGGAGCCAGGAAACTTGCCTTGAACACAGCAAACCCTGGTTCCATCCCTGGCACCACATATGGTCTCCTGAGCATTGCCAGGAGTGCTCCCTAGGCAGAGCCAGAAGTGAGCCCCAAGCACTGCTGATTGTGGCCTCCCTAAGCAAACAAAACCCAAAACCTGGCAGTCTGCATGCCCCTCTCATCATTGGTTTTGGAGACCAGACTAGTAACTTCATAGTATTAGTATTCACATTATTAGTATCCACAGTATTAGTATTCACTAATTACTCCACAGCCCAGTATTCCAAGACAGGTCTGTGAGCAGCTTTGGTGTGAAGCTAAAATTAAGAATTTGGGAAGAAGCATAATGGATGAAAAGGTAGGAAATTGTTTCTAGTACACTGGGTTCAGCCTGTGGCCAGTCCCGTGTTGCCGTCTGTATAAGCAAGTATGAATGCACAGCAATCCCATCCTCTATGTGGTCCGTGGAAGCTTCAGCTCAGGTGGTGGAGTGGTAGTGAGTGGGTGGGCGGGGGGGGGGGGTGGTTGTGGCTGTGATGAAGACTGTCTGGGCTGCACAGCCAACATGCCTACTCTGAAGGAGAAGACGTTCTCACTTAAAGGATAAGGCTGACTGCAGAAGGATGGACACGGGAACATGATTCAAATTGGAACCAGGGACAAAGGGGTCTTAGGACCACAGCAGCAGCCATGGTCTCTGCACACCCACTTTAGCTCAGAGCAAATGTAAGCCCATTGCAAGGCTGCGGTCAAAGGCCTAGTCCATAGCACGGGGGACAGAGAGGAAACGTCCTGTCTCAAGTGGCCAAGATGTGCAGGGGAGTGGGGGGTGGGGGTGGGGAAGGAGGAGAGGAAGTCACAAGATTATTTTGGAAGTCACTCTGGAGCCAGTTTTTCAGTTTCCTGTCCTTTGAGAGCAGACATTAGGGCCCCCCCCCCCCCTCCCCGCTTCACCCCACTGCAGTGTCTCCTGGAACTGCATGGGTTTGAGCAGTGTGGTGCCACGTGCAGACTGTTTGGTAAAGAGGCTATAGAGGTAAGTTACAGAGATAAGGTACCCAGAAATACAGTCCGGTATCCAAGTCTATTTTTCTCTCACCTTCTCCCTAATGTTTTACTTGTCTAGTTTTAGTGTAAAAATATGGTAAAGGCTGGAGAGATAGTACAAGAGTGGAAGCAAACAGCTTGTCTTGCAAACAGCTGATCCTCGTTGGATCTTGGGCATCCCATGGGGTGTGCGGAGCCCACCAGGTGTGGTCTCTGACTGCAGAGCCAAGGAGTAAGTCCTGAGCACCGCCAGGTGTGGCCCGATCTATCTCCACCCCTGCCAAAAAGAATATGGTGAGTAATATGTATATGACATGTATGTGGATCATCTGTTTGTGGAATCGGTATCGCTGCTTTAGTAAAGTTTTTACTTTAGTAAAATTTTGGGGGGACCTAAATTTTTAACGAGAACTTTAGACTCGTTTTGGCATGGGGGAGATGGGTGTTCCTACCTCCAAGTAATTCAAATAAAGGTACACTGTATCCAACACTTGAGTAGATGGTAGAGTAGAGCACAGGGAAGGGGGCACAGAGAGTGACCCTCAAAAATCAGAGAGTTCAACCAATGAAACAAGGGAAGTTGTCTTAAATGCCTGGATTTCAGGTACTAGTCTAGGAGTTGCTATGATCTTCTCCTAACTCCAAGGAATTTATCCCCCACTGACTCCCGGCTCCGCACACTTTCATTGCTCAGTCTCTGACCTTCTTTCATCTCTGACCTTCCCTCTGAGAGGACAGGCCAAAGGATTTTATTGAGGAAAACAGAGCAATTAAGATTTGTGTGAAAGACCCCAAACAAAGCCATGAGTGTGCCCTGTCGGTGTTCTGGAAGAGGAGTCAATGCCAGCCCGGTTCTCAGGGAAATCACTGTGCAAGGACTGGATGGGGAGGATGGCTGGCGGGTAGAGGGTGTCTAGTTGGGGAGGAGCTGGGAGACAGCCCAAAAGCTCAGGAAGCCTGTGCAAGTACACACAGCTGCCAGCTGGTGGCAGCAAAGCACCCCTCACAATATCCCCCGAGGACAACCCGGCAGACAGAGCCCACATGGCCAGGGTGTCCAACAAGGACCCCAACACTCAGTGAGTGTTAGCGACAGGTATGCCTGCACACTCTGCTGCCTAAAACCATACAGTATGCACCTGCATCTGCCTGAAACCTCCACCAACTGCTTCAGCATGCAGAGGCCAACAAGCTGGAGCCCCAGGGATGGACTGGAGGTCTGGAGATGGACTCGGTCAGGAGATGGACAGGTCTGGAGATGGACTTGGGCAGGGCAGGGAAGCAGAGGTCATTTTTTCAGCACCTAGTGACCAACTTATGCCTCTCTGCATTGCTGCTCTGAAGAGCTACATGTGTTAGCAAGATCTAGTAAGGTTTTTACCCTCTTTGTGTGGGGCCTGGTGGTGCTCAGGGATTTCCCCCAGCTCTGTGCTCAGGGATAACTCTTTGAGGGGCTCAGCAGAACCATATGGGGTGCTGGGGATTGACCCTGTTCGGCCACATGCAAGGAAAGTTCCCTACCCACTCCAGCCCCAATCTCCTCCCATTGAACAGTGGACACAGATAGGGCACTAGGGGGCCTCCTTAGTACCCACTGTGGCAAACACAGGCTGTCACAAGACGTGTCCATGCATCAAGAGGCAAACTTCATGAGGTGAGAGTCACCATCTCCCCAGGAGGGCAACCATGCCTTGTCTTAAGTCATGGCTGAGGGACAGGTTGTGCAGGTGGAGCGGGAGGGCGGCGCTTCTGACCTGGCATGATGGTCTTTGTGCAGAGCTGGCACTTGGACGAATACTCGTGGGAATAGCACTCGATGCAGAGCAGCTGCTCCTCTTTGGAAGCGAAGGGCTTGTCCACCAGTGAGTTCTTACACAGTGCGCAGAAGAAACAGGTGTCATGCCAGTGTCGGTCCTTGTAGGACAGATCCTGCAGGAGCAACGGAGCAAAGTGAGACGGGGGCATGAAAGGGGCAATGGGGCAGTGACGAAGCCTGTGATGGTATTTTGTGCACTGGGCCCATCAGCAACTGCGAGGTATAAAATTCCCCTGCTTTCCCTCTGCTGCAGTTGTAGCAACACTTGACTATGAGATGTTTTTGTGAGTCTGAGTGTGTGTGTGTTAGAGAGAAACAGATACAGAATGAAGAGGGTGCTGAAAAACAAACGGATTTCTGTTTGGATACAGGAGAGAACAAGCATGAGCCCAGGAGCCCAGGGCTTGCCGGATCCCTGCTGGAGAGAAGCCCTGGGTAAGAAGGTCCATGGAGCCATGGGGAGCTCCCCAGTCTGCAGAGAGCCGCAGGAAGGGCAAGGATCTGACCATCCAAGCCCAGCAGTGGCAGAGGCCCAGGGGTCTGAAAGCGGCTGGGAATAGAGATGTACAGGCGGCCAGGAGCAGTGGGAGAGATTCTGGGTGGACCTGGATGGGGCTGAAGGCTCAGCCAGGCCCTCAGCAGGAGGCAGAGTAGGTGCTGGAGGTGAGGGGCATTCTGGGGTCATCTCAGGAGAGTCCTGAAGTGATGGAGCAGGAGGGCAGGTGTGTACCTTGCATGTGACAGACAGATGGGGTGGTGGGAGTGGGGCGCAGAGGTGCTGGGTAGGAGGGTCTGCTGGGCAGGACAGTCATGGTGTTTACAGAATAAAAGGGAGAAAGGGGCTAAGTAAGAGAGGAAGCAGCGTGGACACGCCACCACCCTTACCAAGAGAAAATAAAGTAAACACATTGGGGTCCATTCTCAAGGGCACATGCGTTCTGAAACTGTGGGTTCACCGTGAATGCAGCCCCTATGTTCAGTGAGGTCTTAGAGGGGATTCTTGTTTGGTTCCGTTTTGGTCTGGGGGCCACATCTGTCTGTGCTTGGGGCTTAGCTTCTGGCTCTGTATTCAGGGATCTTTCCTGGAAGGGCTCAGGGGGTTCTCTGTGGTGGTGGGGATCCACCTTGGGGCCGGCCACATGCAGGGCAAGGTGCTTGCTACCTGCTCGTCCTTCATGTTCCCTGCTGTGTCCTGAAGCCACAATCCCTTTAGGAGCAAGGCTGCAGAGCCATTTCCTGGGTTGTCGTCCACACCATGGGCAGTCTGAACTATCAGCCACATCTTTCCAGAGACAGTTGTACCAAGTGGCTGCTGGAGCGGGGCCAAGTTAAGGGATGTGCATGGCCCCCCTGGGCTCCCTTCTTGGACTCTCTCACAGATCCCCGATACTTGGTAAACTACAGAACCTACGCAGAACAAACTGTTCTCTGCTGAAATACCACAGGGTGGGAGCTTGTTTTCCCAGGTCTTTGAAGCAGCAAGCTCAAGCGACTTCAGAGTTTGAGTTGAGGGTTCAGTACATGCAAATGTTGAGTCATTTGGACAAAGCTGGGGAACGGCTGAGTAGCAAGGATGCTGGAAAACCTCCTTGGCCCTCCTTGTCCTGGGGACATTGGAAGGAGAGTTGTAACTCTGAGGTTCACAGGAAAGCAGGTCAAGGGTTGTACAGACTCAGCCCCGGGCCGCTGCTGAATTTCCAGAATGCCTGTCCACCTTTATCCTATGTGAATCCAGTCTCAGCACATGGGCAGCTCCTGTGTTCCCATTTCTGGCCTGGAGTATTTTCAGAAATCTGAGGGAACCTGTGCTTTATTGGTTATTCTGACAATGGAATAAAGCAAAACTGCCTTGAGTTGTGGGTTGCAACCTGTATTGTTTTTTTTTTTATTCCTGCAAAGGAGAAAGGAATTACTCCCATGTTGCTTCAAGACACTGGGCTGTTTTGAAGTGTAAATGTTATTACTGAGGCTCATAAAAGTTAGATAACTTGCCAATCTTGTACACTAGGAAAGTTCAAGTTCAAGTCCTTTTATACTGAAAGCTATGTCCAGTGAATTACATACTATAAAATCCTAGTTCAGATTTTGCTACATTTTTGTTTCCCTTGGTGAGACTGTGTATACTCAGTGGAAAAAAGAAATTAGCAACAATAGCATATTTTATACTCAGACAAATGCTTTCAGCATTACCTTTGTTTTGACTTTTAATAAAGTCCCATGATCAATTCAAAACTTGTCGAGGAGACTGGAGTGATAGTACAGTGGGTAGGGCACTCATCTTGCACATGGCCAACTTGAGTTCAATTTCTAGCACCTTACATGGTTCCCTAAATCCTCCCATGAGTAAGTACTGAGTGAAGAGCTAGGAGGAACCTCTGAGCATCACTGAGTGTGGCCCCAGAACAACAACAACTAAAAAGCAGTACCCCTCCATCCCCCGTCCCCCAAACAACAAAAAACCATGTCCAAAGTATAGCAGGTAAGGCAGTTTGCCTTGCACATGACCAACCTGGTTCAATTCCTAGCATGATCCTTGAGCATAGAGTCAAGAGTAAGCCTTGCACACTATACAGTGTAGCCCCATACAAAAATAAAACTGTAAATCCTTTCTGAATGTGCTTGCTGTGGAGGCAAGCTGGAGTAAGGGGCAGGGAGGAAAACTGAGGACACTGGTGGAAACTGAGGACATGGCCTGGGATGAAGCTGGAACACTGCCGAAAATTGTAGGGTGGGCAATTTTGTAAATTACAGTTCCTAAACCAGATACTGAAAACTGAAAATCACAAGACAAGGATGCCTCTGTGGGAAAACTGCCATTTTCCACCTCCCTACATTTCCGGGGTGTGGGGGTGAGGGCAGTGCCTGGCTGAGGCAGAACATGAGGCAGGGGAATGGCTGCTTTCAGGAAGCGTTGTCATAAAGACAGGCAGAAAGTGGGAGGCCTTCTGCAGAAGGAGGGCTGATGTTTGGGGAAGCCCGGGGAAAGCAGTCCCAGGGAGCACCCTGACCATCATGGTCGCATAAGAGATGTGTACGCAGTGGCTCACGTGACCAGACAGTTGCAGAGAAGCCACACTGATGGCCCCTTTGGAGGTAGAGCGCTGCTGAGACCTATGGTGTCGTGGCCAGCAGTGCTTCAGGGAAATATGGACGCTCCATGCACAGTGCTTTCAGGCAGGGAGGGATCATCTGCTGATGGACACCTAACACTGGAGCCCTATAAACCCTGGCACTGTTGCCACATCCTTGCTAGGCCTTAAGCATCGATGTCAGACTGTTGACCTCCCCAAGGTCACTTTGGCCATGGCCCAGGTTGTCACTGCAGGTACCTGGACGCTTTCCCTCTGCGAGGAGCTCCGACCATCAGGGAGTTCATGTGTGGCACTGAAACCAAGGAAAGCTGGGCAAGGAAAGCTCCCGGGTGCCCCTCCAGCCTGGAGAGCTGGGTTCAGGGGCTGTTTCCAGCTGCAAGTCTCTTCCCACCAGGGCTGAGCTCACTCCATTCCTGTCCTGGGCCTCTCTCCACCTGGCACACACAGGAGCATCAGCCAGAGCATCAGCATCAGCTACTTTGTTTTAGGGTCTCCGCTTACTCTCAAAGCTTCCAGTACTGATTCCCCCTTGGAGATAAATCTCACAAAGACAATGGCCCTAGATTTTATGGTGTGCAGCTAATAAAAAGGCACTAAGTAAGCTCTAGTGTTGGTGGCTCTGAGGATGGGTCTGTTATAGTCCCAGAAGGCACTTGATTTTCAGGGCCAATGAGATCTGCATGACTGTGCTGGAAGGCCTGGGCTGGCCCTGTGCACCTCTGCTGAAGCCAGCAATGCCCTCTGGGATGCAGAAACACACACCTGAAACACCAGAGGCCTTTCATCCTACTGCTCAAGTGCACGACTCAAGTCCTGCTTCTGCTGTTGGATCAGCTACATGGCTGTGAACCAGTTCTCTGGTTACTCAGGTTATAAAGAGGAAAGAGAGTAGCTGCCACTCACGATTGTGAAAACTAAATGAATGAGTCATCTGTAATACGTGAAGAACACCTTTTAGGGGCCAGGAGATAGTGTGGCGAATAGGACACAGGCCCAGCATGTGTTCTACCTGTGTTGACCCATGTTCCACATGGTGGGGCATGGTCCTGGCATCGCAGAACCTAGGCAGTACCACAGCCTCAGGCTCTAGGCAACCACTGGGCCAATTGGCCAAGTATTGTTGGAAGTGGTTCCCGAACCTCCTGAGCAGCACTTTCGAGGTCCCCAACACCTCTTCCCCCCAATCATTTTAACCTAAATTTTAAATGAAAGCATCTATACCAGGGATATATGACCTGCTTCTGTCACCACTACTGTATTGTGTTAGCATTAGTTATGATTCGGATCAGAGTTCCTGTTGAAATTGCTTCAAAGCATCACTTGCTGAAATTAGATTTACTCATGATCATTCTCCAACGAGCTATGATAACGGCAATGAGAAGGTTTCTCTCCTCGCTGTAACGAGCCCACAGAATCATAGACAAAAACTCTTACCTAACCAATTGTGCTCCCGAGTGTCCCTGGAATTCTCTTTCTTGGGATCTCTCTAGATGTGTGTTTTACAGGAAGAAATTCATGTCATGGCTTCCTCATGGATTAGCTTCTTAAAAAATCCACAACACATGGGAAGTGAGACTTGGCTTTACAGCAAGTGAAAGGCAATCAATATTGCCAGCTCTGCTTTTCTGAGGCCCTGCCAGAAAATGTCTGGGTGCCAGGGATCAAACCTGGGTCAGCTATGTACAAAGCGCCTTGTCAATTGCACTATCTCTCCAGTCTCGAGTGTAAGCTTTAAGTACACAATTTCTTGAATTTAGAAACAAAGTAGAACATACACACACACACACACACACACACACACACACACACACACACACACAGTCAAGAGGCTGGAGTCCAATTTGTTAGATCTATAAGCCTAAACAGTTATTCTTGATCCTATTTTGATTTTATGAAAAGTCTCAGTGATCAATGGCCTTTTCCAACTTGGTTTTCACAGCTCCAAACAGTTTCTGTTTGATTGTCGGTACCAAACTAGTCTTATCTAGTTTAATCCTGTTTTGCAGGGCTCACACTATGTG